CAACTGAACTACCTGGCCAGGGTACTATTTCTGAATATATATATATATATATATATATATATATATATATATATATGTATATATATATATTCAAAGCAGGATATTGAAGAGATATTTGCACACTCATATTAATTGCAGCAATATGCACAATAACCAAGAGATGGCAGCAAACCAAATGTCTATTGACAGATGAATGGATAAACAAAATTCAATGCATACTTGCAATGGCATATAATGCAGCCTTTAAAAAGAAGAAAATCTTGTCACATGCTACACACATGAATGAACCCTTAGGACATTATCATAAGTGAAGTAAGTCAGTCACAAAAGAACAAATAATGTATTACTCTACTCACAAACAACTGAACTAGTCGAAATCATAGAATCAGAAATTAGGAGAAGTAGCTGAAACTGGTTTGGTTTAGTGGATAGAGTGTTGGTCTGTGGACTGAAAGGTCCCAGGTTCGATTTCAGTCAGGGGCATGTACATTGATTGCGGGCACATCCCCGGTGGGTGGTGTGCAGGAGGCAGCTGGTCGATGTTTCTCTCTCATCGATGTTTCTAGCTCTCTTTCCCTCTCCTGTCCTCTCTGTAAAAAATCAATAAAATATATTTAAAAAAAAGAAATTAGGAGAAGTATTTGCCAAGGCTAGTGTTTATTGGGAATAATGCTTCAGTTTTTCAAGATGAGAAAGTTCTAAAGAACTATTGCACAGCACCATGAATATACTCAACACTACTGAACTCTATGCTTACAATTTCTTAAGATATTAAATTTAAGATTATGTTTTTCTTTTACACACACACAAATTAGCTGTGCAAAATATAGTTTCAAATAAAGAATATGTAACTAGGCTAGTCTTCTAATTATGCTCTAATAAATATATGTAATTCTGGAATTGTAGTTCTGTTGTAACTCACATTTGATTGATCAAGTCTTTATGGCCAATGAGTAGTGTATTACTGAGCAATTAATTATACAGATAAATGTACAAATATAGATAAATGTATAGATGGATGTATAAATCATGAGACTTATCTTAGGAGTTTATACTGAATTCATTATTTTCCTTTACACAGAGAGAGCTATTGGATTGTAGGGGCAAAACTTAATGGCAGGTGAAACCAAAGTGAGAATGATTATTCACATCTTGGTGTGACAATTCCAGTTGGGGTCTGGGCGAATTTCATTCTGTGTTTGCCTGACATCTAGATTTCAATGTACATGGCTCATTAGTGCTTGTAGACATTTCTATAATGGCAATTTATTACACGTTCAAGTGACAGAAGCTGTCCTTTGAAGAATTGCTTCCTGACCTCCTCTTCTTTCAACCCACAACACCTGCCGAGTGAAGTGGCCAGTTCCCACACAGATGCTGGAAGTTTTTGTGTACAGAAGGCGCGCAGGGCTGAAAGCTCTGGCAGGAAGGCTTCTGCAGTCTGCCTGTCCAACTGCATGGATCCACACATTCTCAATTAGAAGAAGATAGACAGGAAGATAAAGTATGTGGGGAGTGCAAAGCTTCAAGCCGCAGCTGAGGGAGATTTTGAGAACATCTGGTTGATCTATTTCTTTATAGGTAAGTATTCCTTTTTACAGCCAGCATACAGAAAGCGTGAAATTGGCTTACCCAGCCGCCTCCTAACAAGGGGGAAGCTGGTTAGATTTATGGCTCCTTTGATGCAGGTCTGGAGAGAGTGGGGTGGCATGTGGCATTCCCACCGGAGGCCCCACCAAATCCTTTGGACTCCTCTCAGAGGGAACATTTGTCCACTATATCAAATCCATTTTTAAGAGCCTGTTCAGGCTGGCAGTGTGAAAGATCATTCAAAAACAAATAAGTAAATAAAAGTCAATTCATGATGTTTAATTTTCCCCCATGAAATGTGTGTCTGAGCAAGAGATGCCATCAACACAGAACTTCCCTCTCTCTTAATTTTTCAAATTGGTTCTTTGTGTATGAGGCTCATTCTCTTGAACTGCTCATTTTAAAATGTTGTTCACTTTAGGCAATACATGCTGAATTAATTGTTTTGTCTGTATCTAGCTTCATCTTCTGTGTACATAGCATCCCCAAATGACCAAACTGCATTACTCTTTTAATATGTAAGACTCTGAGTAACAGGTTTCAGAATGCTTCCCTGTTATAGAGGTATAGCATAACCAAACAATCAAAGCAAACCTCCAATTATTTTAAAATTATCTGAATAGACAGCAAAAGGAGAACTGAATTCAAATTCAGGTTTCCCAGTACATGGCAAAATTTTAAATCCTTACATTAGAAAAGTATGTTTCATTTCATGATAATTGCTCACATGGCATTGTGTTCATATTATTATCCATGCTAGAATAATTTGAAATCAGCCTCCATTTATGAAGTTCTCACTTATCATATTTAACCTGTCACATCCAAAATACTTTAAATGTTCATTGAGAATGAACCTCGCTTTAAAATCAATGTACGTATATAAAAGGAAATGTTTCTAATTTGTGCTTTTAATTTACTGGTTCACTTCCCCTGTACCTAAACAAGGTGTCCTTTACTCAACAATCATGCAGTCGGATAATTTGCATGCATTCCTTCATTTTCTCATTATTCTTTAGCTCTCAAGACCATTCTGACTTACAGCTATAGCTTACACAAAATTTAGCCTTGTAATGAAGGGGGTCTATAATTTATGCAAGGCTTTCTGTACTATAAAGAAAGGAAATGATTAGAAACTTTTTACACTCCAGGAGGGAATGAGATTAGGTGAAGATAGAGCCCTGCGGAGTTAAAACTAGCCCAGAAGCAAAGGAAGGCTTAGCGAATCACAGGGAATTTCAGGGTACAGTTAATCTATACTGTCATCTTTGGGTCTGCTATAAATTTTCATTAAACAATTAAGATGCAACTGTATTGAAATAACCTGGTGTCTTTAGGTTTCATCCAAGAATAAACTAGAAATTGAATCAATACAGAGGATTAATCTTTTCACCTACATTTGCTTATACCCAGAATGGGGGGAAAAAAAACAGCCCTGCCTCCGTTCAGGAGCCACCATTACTGTGAATTATCCAGTTCCCCTTTCTTCCTTTCCTTCCCTACAGTGCCCTGCCTGCCTTTTTGGTCATTAGCATCTTAGCAGAAGAGAAAGAGGAGGAAGAATAGGAACAAAAGTATTTAAGAGGTTTAGGAGACGTTAAAACTAAGAGTTAAAAATAAATTTTAAAAGGATCAATGTGTTTGACCCATGCTGGGCCCCTCATCATCAGAAGTAATTAAGCATTAGCCAAGCGACTGCATCTCTGTGACAGTGTTAGCACTGCCCCTAAGTCCATTCTCTCTGAAATTGGAGGTCCGGGTCTTGAATAACTGGGGTTTAGGAAAATAAGGGACAATGAACCCCTCTTTTATGAAATAAGGAGGTTTAAAGAATAATTGCGATTGTGCAACCTGCTCTAAAATTCTTTTCTTAAAGACATGTCTCAAAAGACAGAGATATCATCTAGTTGTATATTTATGATTTTCACCTTAAAGTTACACTTCAATAAAGAGGTAAAAGACATGGTATGCCTAAGAAAAGAGAAGATGCTACAGTGTGGCATGAATTCCGACTCCACAAATCAAGGAGGGCAAAGTCACAGACGCTAAAGAATTCTGGAGTGTTCTATCCCACCCTCATCTTTTTCTTTGCTCCTCATTCTCTCCTGTAAGTGCCCCATTGCTTCTTTAGTAGCAGGGAAAGCAGAAAGAAAATAAGAGAGAACAAAAGCTCAGAAGAATGAAACTAAGAGCCAGATGGTTAATTCAACTGTGAAGGGCGAAAAGGAGCCCAGAAGACCATTTGGGGGAGATTATTTCAGGGCTCCCAGGACTGAGAAAATCAGGTGGTATCCCTTTAAGTGCTATCTCACTGTGAAGGAGTCATTGGAGAGCCATTTTTGGTAAGTTTGGGAACCAAAGCAGAAAGTTTTCCCACCGCAGATCTATCCATTTTCTGCAGGGCTAAACGGAAGATATGGCTTCGGAGCCTGGGCTGTCCTTGTTGGAGGACACGATGCACCATAGATTTTTATTTTCATGGTCAGACTCCAGAGTTGTGTCGCCTTCCAGACAGCAGCTGGCTCTGGGTAGAGGCACAGCCGTGGGCCGGAGCTGCTGGCCACGAGGCTGGTGTTGGCTGTGCATCCCAGGCAGCCAGCCTGGCCAGCACTGCAGCCAGAGCTTCCCACCCAGAGCAGATGCTGCTCCCTTCTGGAAAGGCTATGGGGTCTCCCAACTGGTTGCTCCCTGGCTCCCTGGGGGAAGAGAAGCTGGTTTGAAGGGAAGGAAAGGAGGGAGTAGGTTTGTGAAGCGTTAAATCTCCCTTAAATCTCTGGTGCCTGAAGGGGATGAGGTGGTGGCCAACTAAAATGAAGGGAGATTATCCATCCCATTTTGAGTAAGGAGGGTTTTTGAATGAGCCCGGGATGTGTCCTGCAACTGTAGGGGTTTTTCTTGTTTTTTGGCCGGAGACTTGACTCAATCAACTGCCTTTTGGTTCCCACTTCAGACACCCGCCTCCCCCACCCCAGCCTGTGTTCTGATGGACTCTCTCTCTCGGGACTGGGGGGGCGCACAGAACCAGAGAGAATGAAAAGTCCGCCTCCTTTGGGTCTCCGAGGTGGTTGCCGCACAGCTGCTTTGGTTCGGAGCAGGTTGGTGGTGTAGGAGGGGGAAAAGCCATTGCTCCAGCGCCTCTTTGGTGGGGTCTGGGCAAGTGCGTGGGGTGGTGGGTGGGGAGGATGAGGAGGAGCAGGGTGAGGCGGGACCAGTGAGCAAAGCTCCTCATGTTGAGTCTCCAGCAGCATCTCCAGCTCCCAGCATCCATCCCCCTCCCGCTCCCGGGGGGCAGGCGGAGAGGAGGAGCTGGTGGGGACGCCCAGCAGCAGCTCCTGCAGCCTGGCCCCAGCTGGCAGCGGGGCTGTCTCTTTAAAGGCTCCGAGGAGCCGGGGCCAGAGGGCGGCGAACGCGTTTCCATGGCACCGAGGCCGCAGGGGCTGCGGGGTCGAGGGGGTCCGCAGGGTTTCCGTCACTCGCGGAGGAGCAGGGTCGTGGATCCCAGTGGCCTAAGCAGCGCCTCGGCTGCACCCTGGCCACCACTCCTCCTGCGCTCTCCGGAGCCCGGGATGCCTGGAGGGGCCCCGCTGCTGCCCAGCCCTCCGCCAGGAGACCCGCCTCGCCAGCCTGGCTCCGGAGCCCCGCGCACCAACTTCTGTCCCGCCAGCCCAACTTCTGCTGCGGGCTCGGACCGGCGGAGCCGGAGCGGCTCCCGGAGCTCCGCTGGGTGCCCGGAGCAGCTCCGCCCCGCGGGGATGCTGACCCCGCGGCTGTGGCTCTGGTGCTGGTGGTGCACCTGGGTGGCTGCCGGCTGGCCTCCGGGCAGCGCTCTGCAGCTCCGGCCAGACATGTAAGTAATAGGATCCTGCGCGTTCCGGGACTCTTAGGGAGAGCGGTGGTCCCCCCAGATGCCTCTGCCCCACCCCGGACCCCTGTGGACAGTAGGGCGGGATCCTTTCCCTCCCGGAGGGGTGGGAAATGGCAGAAGGCATCCCTTGGGGGTCTGTGGGCGACCCTGGGCAGAGAGCGCAGAAGCGGGGTCCCCAGCGCTTGGATAGTGGGGTTTAGGGGCGGGGGAGGCTGGGTGCTTTTCATCTGATTAATACTTTCTCAGCGCCTGAATGATTCCCATCCTCAGCACCCCCAGGTTTGGGAGTGTGGGTGTGTGCACATTGTGCGAGTGCCTGCGAGGATGGGTGTGTGTGTGCTTTTCAGTGAATTCGCTATTTGGAAGAGTAATTGACTAACAAGTCCCACTTTCTGAAAGGGTTTTGAATGAAATCATGTCGAACAGTGAGGTTTCTTGACATGTTCTTTCTAGAGTCCAGGAGTTGGAGTACTTGTGTCTTTCCTTTCTCTCTTTCTTTCTCTCTCTCTTTCTTTCTCTCTCTCTTTCTTTCTCTTTCTTTCTTTCTTTCTTTCTTTCTTTCTTTCTTTCTTTCTTTCTTTCTTTCTTTCTTTCTTTCTTTCTTTCTTTCTTTCTTTCTTTCTTTCTTTCTTTCTTCTTTCTTTCCTTCCTTCCTTCCTTCCTTCCTTCCTTCCTTCCTTCCTTCCTTCCTTCCTTCCTTCCTTCCTTCCTTCCTTCTCTCAATTTTATTTATTTATTTGTTTGTTTGTTTGTTTAGAGAAGTATCTTTGAGTCTGAAGGAGTGGATTGTTCCACAGGTTTGATGAGAAGTGAGCCAGGCTCATCTGCTGAAGTGAGGAGCTAGGGGAGGAGTATGTCAAGGATGAGTGCCTGGCCTCCTTAGAAGAGAAAGGAGGAGTGGGAAGATGGCAGAAAGGTATTCTCTGAGGATGGGGCATACTTTCATTTCCAGATTACAAGCAAAGGCAAGGACATACTAATTCTTGGTCACAGTAGCAAGCGTAGTCTGAAGCTCAGGGGAAGTCCAAGTCTTTCCCGATTGCCTGGTCGCCTTGGCTGGCTGAAGTTTGCACTGAGTTCTGTAGTATCCGGGGGATCATCCTTCAGTTGTCTGAGAGAAGCCAGAGCTGGTTCTGCTTTTCCTTTCTCTTCTGAGCAGTCATGGATAGACACCAGAGGATTTGGAACATTTAGCATCTTTGTTACCTTGCTATTTTGTTGCTTCATCTTTCATTTTCTGAAATGCTAACATTTTTATAACAGAAAAATGGTTTAGATAAGTACACAAAGCCATCTGTGATGTTCCCAGAACTTTATTTTTTTTTCTTGTAAGAAAAATAGTAAATTTTCATATTTCATCCTTCACCTTCAATTTGCTGCCTGGTGACTTCAAATGGCGCTAACTATAAATGTGGAGACACGGCCAGGGTGTTGGTGGCATCACAGAACTTCTTGCCTACATAGTTTGTAAATATATATTTGGCAGAAATGCAAAGAATTCCTGGGTAGGTGATTTCTCTTGCATTGATAAGATGTGTCTTGTTTATTTTTGAACGAGAAGGTTGATTTAGACTTTTCCTCTCCAGTTTATCTCAGAAAACACATTTACATTGGATAGCTTGTGCTTGCATAAGCCTTCATTTCTTAGAAACTGCTTCTTAACAAGCTTGTTGGCTAGCCTCGCTCTTACCTTTACAAGTGTCGCTATTAAAGTGGACTCTGGGTTGGCTTATGAGCCACAGATTCACCCCTGCACATGGGACCAAATTACCCTTCAGGAGGCCCTGGAAAATCACAGAAATATCACATCACTTTTTTTGCACTGCTGACCTGTTTTATCTCAGATTTCAATATTGATACTTCCGTTGAAAAGGCTGGGAGGATGACATTGCATTTTTTTTTTTTAAAGGACACAGCTACTGACAGCTCATTTATTTATCAGGTGAGATGAGATTGGATATTAAAACCAATATAAATTCTTGGGTGTTTAATAGAGATGCTCTTAATGTAGGAGTTATTGAGATGACTCTGATGACTCTTAGTGCTTTCTGAAATCTGGATGGGAAGGAATCCAATCAAATTTGTAGTTAGTCCTCCCTGGCATTAGAATTAATAGTTTCCTCAGCAGGGACTATGTTGGGTTTCTGCAGATGCCTTTGCAATTATTTCAGGCATGTGGAATACAACCATGGATAGCACTTGGCTTCTACACACCGCCTGTCTATTAAATTAGAATTTTTCCTGAGATTTTTATGTATCTCTGAGGTCCATTATCAGTGAGAGCAGGCTTCTAATAAGGTGAGGACCATGAATAGGAATGCATCAGCTTACGGTATAGACTGGCACTTACAAGTCATTAACACAGGTAAAGGTTCTCTGTAGCCAATCTTATACTTGAACAGATTTTTGATGCCAGGGTGACAAATGAAAAGAAGAGATGACTGTGTAGCTAAATCAAGGTCAGCCTAAATGGAATGCGTTGTATTTATGGTACATTCCTCCAGAGCAAGCTCATTTTTAAAGGAACTTTTATTAATGGATGCTCCAGCTCGAATGATAATTGATCTGTCTGATGACCTTGTCTTATTACATAGAGGAAACCTTGTGGAACTAAGGTTAGGCAAACTTACAAAATCACCATTCCTCAAAGAGTGCCTAAGGACCTACTACTTTGTTTTCCCGAAAATAAGACATCCTCCGAAAATAAGACCTACTTACAGGTTTCCTTCTGAGTGAAATATAAGGCATCCCCCGAAAATAAGTCCCCCCCCCCCAAGGCTAAACATGAGAGATTTGGTCCACTGATTCTGAAAGAAATGGAGTCACAAGAAATTCACAAGGAAATTCAGGAATTGGATTGTTATGATGATGTTCCAGAAGATGGTGACATAATTGTCATTGAATAAATGAGTAAATTCTTGATACTGTAGGATTCACAGTTTGTCTGGTTTGTGTTGACAACTACCGTACTACTGTACCATATATAGGTAATAAATTTCCTTTATTTTCATTTAACAATAGAAAAATAAGACATCCCCTGAAAATAAGACCTAGTGCATCTTTGGGAGCAAACATTAATATCACACTGTCTTTTTTTCGGGGAAACAGTTGGCATTGGAAATCATAGTTAATACTTAATTCGTTTGAATTCGTACTTAGATGCGAGGCAAATGTCTAGTCCCTTTACATGTATTATTTAATTTTATCTTGTAAAAAGCCCTGCGAGGTAGAGGTAGACACTATTATCATCTCCATGTATGATGACTAAAGAGACATAGTAAGGTTTAAGCTCACACTCCAGGAAGTCTTGTGACTTGGGTCCAGGTAGTTTGAATTTCAGTGCAGGAGTTCTTAACAAATGTGGTCCATTTCAGAATACCTGGGGTTTTAAAAAATCACTGACAGAGGTTTTCAAGGGCTGGTACCTGCTACGTATGAAGAAATCTATGGATTTTTTTTTAATGTTGTAAAAACTACAGGATTTTTTTGGCATTTGGTGCTGGGTATGGAAGGGGTTGGGATGCCAGTTGCCCTGCAGTAGGAAGATGGTTCCTCCTAAGAATTATCTGCTTTATCTCTTCCTCAGAGAGACTCTTCCTAAGAAATTACTCAGCTCTCTCATAGCTATAGGTGTTTAAGTATAAAAAGGATGAGCTAGGCTGAAACTGAGAATTGTGGACTGGGGAAAGATAACATTGGCATTATGCGTCGGAGTGTTGTAACTGGTAATGGCATTTTGATAAAGGGATATTGAAAGAGTTTACTTATGTTAATGGTACTCTGCAAATGTTTTCTAAAGGATTAAATAGAAGGAAATAAACTCTCCTCCAGATCTTTGAAAATGGAAAGGGAAAATGACTGGCTGCAACACACTCCATTAAAAATGTATTCTTTATAATGTTCTCTTGCAAACACTTGCATAATTATTGCATACACGTGATGGAAAGCAGTCAACATGAAAGTGTTGCACAGTCAGACATGCATAAATGCAGAGGCAGTAGCTTAAGTTTCTGGGACTTGAGACACTTGGATTTCTCTGATCATTGGGGGAAATTTTTAAAAGATATAGCCATTTTGTGACTCAGCAGTTTCCTATGCTGATTAGGACATCTCATATCCATTCCCTAATGCTGGTATCCAATACAGGAAGTTTGATATATAAGATAGCTCTAAGGAGACTGTTCATCCTTAGCCTTCTGTAGCTGATACAGAAACTTATGGTCAAGATGGTGGGCATTTTGTTTTTGAAGAATTGATAAACTGAGAAAGGCAAGAGGCTAAAATAAACCAGAATTATAAAAGGAAATTGAGAAAATTGTTTCTTGCACCACACACTATGTTGGGATTTAAATTTTTTTTTTTAACTTTGATTATCATAAAGCCTGAAATTAAGCCAGGTAGAGATGTCTGGCTAATATTAGTACACTTTAAAATTACAAATAATTTAAGCATGGCCTATGATCTGTCACTTACTCATGGGTGTAAATTAGTTCAAAAGTATTTTTCTTTCCTGTGAGATCAGCCACATTAAATGAGCTTAAAGCGAATTAGAGAAGGCGATGTACATTCTCTATGGGCAAGGCATTATTTGCAGCAGTTTGTGTTTATTAATACCTTTAATCATAACAACAGTCATAATTATAGTCTCTAGTTTTCAGAAGAGGACACTGGGACAGAGAGAGGCTAAGTAACTTGCCTTGAAGAAGCTTCATAGCTGAGAACTGATGGGGTGGGCTTGGAACCCATTCTATCTAACTCTGTGGTTCCTAACCTTTTTGTGGACATGCCCCACCTAAGCATCTCTAAAATCCTGATGCCCTCCTCCACCCCTTCTCCCCGCCGTGACATATAATTTTTATTAGTAAAAAAAGTGAACTCCTATTCGTGTGGAGGAAGCCTAAAAGGCCATTAACTTGGTCTAAACGAGCTTCCTAAGGTCATGGCATCCATGAAGAGAGAGGAAGAAACACACACACAAAAGG